TAATTGCACACGATACGATTATGCCAAACCCTAATTTACAGTATGAATTAGGGTTGGGCAATACTGGTAAAAAAWTTTTTAACCATGATTAATTGGGGTATTTGTCAGATAACGATTAATTTGATGATTAATCCCCTGGAGTCCCTGGACGCCCTTATGTCCTCTTAGTCACATGACCAATTTAGATTTGCTCTTCTTAAAAATCTGTTCCAAACTGTGTCAAAATTACAGACTTCAGGCTATATCAAATTTTAAATTGTGTTGATAGATAAATAAATTACAGAACTTTTTATTTTTAATGTTCATCATATTTGAAGCGTAGAGGAGCACAGAGTGAACTGACCTGGTGGTATTAATTGTATTAATCATCAAGTGCCAAAAAATAACCGATTAATGTTTTTCTGACTATTAATTGCACACGATACGATTATGCCCGACCCTAGTATGAATAAAGTTTTTTTTATTGTACATTAAAAATAAAGTCTTTGTAAAAAATGTAATTTGCTGTTTCATACATTTACATGAATGCATTAAAATTATCTGGTCTTTACCAGGTAGTAAAACTATTTTATTCTAATTTMAATTGTACAAAAACAGAACAGATTCCACCATGTCGTCATTTCTTAAATGGATTTTTGACTATTTGCACACTTTGGCCTTAATTTCTCTGCTCTACTAAAAGTTACTTTTATTAGCTTGGGAGCTAACGTGAAAGCTAAAGCCGAGGTTCTCCTTCCATGAAGCAGCTCTGTTGTCCACCATTATTTTCAGTTTCAGTYATTTCTACGTTCTCTTTTCTGTCAAGGCACTCTGATATCATGTAAGGGCTGATGGTCAGATTTAGTCCAAAATTAACCTTCAACCTAGGCATGGGCCAAATATCGGTTTCAAGGTATACCGTGATATGAAAAAGTCACGGTTTCAAAACCACTAAAAATTTCTGTCATACCGTGCCTACTATATGACAGAATGGAAAGAGTTTTGTTTATTTTTCCTCTGGTCTAAGCCACTGCAGACTTTGCCCCGCACACTCCAGCAGCAGACTGCCTGTCGGCAGCCCTCTGCTCAGCTCTACAGGGGTTGTGTGATGGTGACTTAAGAAGAGTTCCCCAAACTTTTCCCCTGTCTAAAAGATTAAAGCCAGCTGTATGAAAATACTTAGGATGCRGTAAAGACAACGGCAATGTGGACCGTGGAGGCAACACATGATCACAGCTCCAGGTAAAGCTATAGTATCTTGAAATGAACAAGCTAACTTTAGCATCAGATTGTGAAACATATCACCGTGTTGCTGTGGCTTATTGCGCAGATCACAACTTGTCTGAAAAACTGTTTGAGTTGTTGGATTGTCTATTTGATAAGTTTTAAGTGAAACGTGATAAAACTGAATGCCTCCTTTAGCCGAGCAGCTCGTTAGCTGAACGTGCGTTTCATAAACACACATTCATAGTTGTGATTTCTTGTTTCTGTGTGCATATAATCAGAGTTGCACATAAGAGGTGCGCATGTGCGATCAAAAAAAGAAAAAGCGCACCAGATGGAACGTCACAAAGCTCACTTGCGTTCCTAAGATTGTACCTGAGATTGTCTGTGAAAACAACAGCTAGCAGGGCTCTAGAGTGCGACCAGTTTGGTCGGAAATGCGACCCCATTTCTTTAAAAATAAAATAAAATCCAGCCGCACTGGTGTGACTGGATCATTGTTTGGTGCTCACCAAGCCTCAGGGCAGCGGGACCCTGATATAAGGATTAAACAGACACTGCCTTCAACAAATCAGACGAAGTCCAGAGCTGTTTTGTCCAATCAGAGCAGAGCAGGGCGGGACTTTCAGTCAGTGCGGTTTTCAGCAGAGACAGCAGCTCGAATAGAGCAGTGGCTGCAGTGGTCAGTCATGACATCTCCTCCTGCACTTTGCTCCTGAACTACCAGAGACTTGTCTCTAAAACATAACTTTATATTAAATGTGTTCAGAGCGTCGTTATCAAACAGATCTGTCCAACTCTGTGTGAGTGACTAAACTCTCTCCTCCWGAGAGACTGCTGTGACAGGAGCGCGTCGCTGCATGTGCAGGCTGAGTCTTTCTGACATTCACTGTTTTGAGTTCTTCTAATTAAACTACATTAATTCTAACAGAACATTTGTTTGCCCCATATTAAAGTAAAGATGATTCTCTGTTTAACATCACCCCCGTCAAAAAAATTATATATATTAAAAAAATAAAAACAACTTGCCATGTTCTCTAGGTGAATGAGTTTTAAATGTTATTTTAATTKTTCAAAGATCCACAAAATTCTTTCATAGTTGTATCAAAAAAGATAATTACATGAGCTGAAACCATCTAAATAATAAATAATAATATTTTTGAATAAAATAGTCTTAAAAAAAATCCGTCTAACAAGTAAAACATTTCTATGTTTTAAGTTATCTTGCTCTGCGCAAAAGACAGATATTTGCTGCTTGGACTGGAGAGTGGAAAGCTGGTTTAACCAAGGCTGAAGTGAAGACCAAACAGGAGCTGTCCATCTGACGACATGTGTAGTCTAAAAGACATTTAACCATGAAATGTTCAGTTTGTGATGTTTATATGACCCAGCCCCTCGGCCACTTAGTTAGTTTACAAAATTTATGCAGAGTAAAATAATTAAATAAAAACTGGTGGACTGATTTAACATGATGTCCTGAGACGTTGCAGCTGATAGGAGTCATAAAACAGAACAGGGGGACGTTAGATGCCCTGACGCCCCTCTAGATAAATGCGTTAAATGAGTGAAGGAAAATATGAGCACCAAGCAACAACCCTAGGTTCTCTCCTAAGAACCAGACCGAAAATTTTATGTGCAACTCTTAATTATATAATCTTTGCGTCAAAAAAMCCCTTTGTCATTTAAAAACACAATAAAACTCTCAACGTGATATATTACTTCAATAAAAAGACTTGTCGTGCAGTATACACTGATTTGTCTTAACCAATAAAGCAACAGAAAAGCAGTTGTCTTACTAGATGTAAACTTCATCAGGATGACATAATTGCATTAGATGCTAAAAATCAATAAAGTACAGATGCACACAGGTAAATCAAATTTCAGCATTAACACCTGAGATCTAAAAACAGCTTCCAAAGATAATTAAAGTTGAATATGATGATAGAAAAGTAATTTTCTTTTTTGTTTTTAAATACAAATTTCAAAACAAAAATTTTACAGCTGTAATCGTAATACCGTCATACCGCAAAACCGTGATATTTTTGCCCAAGGTTATCATAACATGATAATTTCATACCGTCCCATGCCTACTTCAACCTTTATAGAGCTCAGATCAGAGTACCCAGAATGACATGTGGCATAAATAATATGGCAATGTAAAGATTTTTATTTTATTTATAAAAACTGAACAGCCTACAATATTTTTAGTCTTGTTTTTATAGTTAAAGTTAGGGCTGCGCGGTATATGCGGTAGAAACGGTACGAAGTCGGTCTACGGTAGAAATTTTTACTCTACCGTCCTGTCGTCATTACGTCATCGCACCGATGTCAACAGGGCTGCGAGTGCAGAGACAACTGAGCAGGAGTTCCAAATATAATGAAGAAATTATAGCGTTTTAAAACATGTATGGAGAGAATAAATCCTCAAAATTTCCTCCTCCCACTGTAGAAAAGTTACGTTGTGTCCTGGGATCATTTTCTCCCTCCCTTCCGCTGCACATCGCACAGAGCGAAGCTTTAAATACCGTAGTTTTTCACACCCAGTTGTCGGAGAAAAAAAAAAGTTTATGTATGTTACCCACAGAGATTATAAAAAACAAAACAAAACAAAAC